GAATGGATATAATACGGTATTTCCTCATTAGCTATATTAGCTATCCCATTTATTTCATTTATCCTATTGATTTCATTTATCCTATTGATTTCATTTATCCTATTGATTTCATTTATTTCATTTATCTCAGTTATCTCATTTATTTCATTTATCCCACTTAACTCATTTATCCCACTTAACTCATTTATTCCATTTGTATCTGTAAATTGATTTTGTTGACTAAACTCCATTGTTGATTGCATTGTTGATTGCATTGTTGGCATATAATAAAATGATGAAGGTTGAATTGGTATATTTGTAGCAATATCATCTAATTGAGTATATTCTTCTTGAAATCCTTGTACTTGAGATTTTTTCTTTCGTTGACTTGATGGAGAATATTGTTTCCATATCGCTTTATCTCTTCTTGGTTTATATTTATATCCAGGATTTTGACGTTTGTGTAATTCTGCAACTCGTGCTGCTAAATCTTTATAATAATCTTTTTCTTCAGCCGTAATCAAATGTTTCCATATAATACCAATATATTTTGAGAAAATTCGTTCATTATAATTTACTAATTTACTTGTATTGTTTTTTTGGTCATGAGCTACTTTACGAAAAATTATAAATTTATTACATGGTCGTTTTGTTCTACCATCAGGTGTCTTTGCTGAATTTCCATTATAAAATTGTTCTGCTGTGCAAGGTGGTGGGAAAAGTCTCAATAAATTCTTTACGCGTCTAGCTTCTGTAAGATCTTTATTGGCAACTTTTTTATTTCTAGGTGATTCATTTTCACATTCACTTCCAGGAGGAGTAGGAATAGGTGTAGTTGTTAAGTTAGATGGTTCATCTCTGGTAGGTGTAGTTGCTAAAATTCTAGGATTATTGGAATTATTTCCAGATAATTCAGATAATTCATTCTCATAATCACTAATTACCGGCGAGGTCACACATGAAAACGTGGAATTATTGAGGTTGCTACTTAAAGGTTGAGGACAAAAAGGGGAAGAAATGTTTTCAATATTCTCAACGTATCTTTCTTGTAAAAGTTCTACAGGTGGACGCACTAACATTTTAATAGAATAGTCTTTGTTTTAAGAACTTTGTAATTAAAAAAAAAAAAAAGAAAAAATTATTGAAAATAGGTTTGCCTTTATATTTATATACACTGGTCAACTTAAAATTGCATAATGATATGCATATATACAAATATTTGTATATATTCGTATATGTTAAATAAAACAAAAAGATAGGGAAATTTTAACAATGTTAATAGTCAAATGAGAATTTATCTTGGAAACTTAAGTAAAAATATTCAAAATATTAGAAATTTCCAGCAGAATAGTCGACGGAATAGATCGCATCTTCATCTGAATTGTATGTAGTATTTCTCCGTACCGGACTAGAATTTGCGTCACATACATAAATACTAGTACTATTTTATCTCGAAATTTCTTTACATGTAATAATTTAGATCTTATTGTTTGAACCCTACCCTAAAATGTTTCACCATTCAGCATAAACAAGTTATTTTATGTACATCGCTTGATCTATTTTTAAATTAAAAACCGCCGATATGCCTAATCTTTTTCGTTTTCAAATACCGCGAGAACCATTTAGGTCCTACGTACTACAATAACGTGAATTACAGTATTATCAATATTGATAAGGTCTTGATTAAATTCGTTTTTATTGTTTTTTTTATGTGACATTTTGATTCCTTTATAATTGCTATTTTGTTGACCTTTTATATTCGTTCAGTAATCACAATGTAATCACAATTTTAGATATATTATTTAAAAATACACGTCAAAAAAGTTGTTCTTTACGCATTTAGTTGATCACTGAAGAATTTCACAAAGTTACATAGTTTTATTATTTTTAATAGTTGCATGATTATAAATCATTGATATTATAACCTTTAAATTGATTATAAAATAAAGAATATTTTCTGATCAATGTGATCAATGTGATCAATGCGAAACTACAAAAATTATAGAATCATGAGTATTTGTTTCTTTGATTGATTGCGCAATAGTGTAATAGATTAGATGTCTAGGCATCATGCAGTCTACAAAATGGCGAATTCCGCATAAATAACGTCTAAAAAAGAAATGCCAATGTTGAAATCCTTTCCTATCTTTGAGCATGTAAACATGAGTTTCCGTTTAATGTCGAATAAAGGATAAATATTTATAATATGTGTAAACTTGGCGTTAGTAAAGAAAAATAAAGAAAAAAAAGGGTCGTTTTTTTAAATGCAAAAAAAGGGTATTCTGTAATTGTAAATATATTCGCAAATGTATTAGTAAATGTATTTAAAAATTTATTAGTTTATTAGTAAATGTATTTAAAAATTTATTAGTAAATGTATTTGAAAATTTATTAGTAAATGTATTTGAAAATTTATTAGTAAATGTATTTGAAATTTTATTAGTAAATGTATTAGTAAAGTATTAGTAAATGTATTAGTAATTTAAAGTAATATACAGTATATATTATAATAATTACTTTAATATTATTTAACATTATTCAATATTAATTGATATTATTTGAGATGCGAATGTTCGAAAAAAAACAAGAATTGATAATATAAATACCTATATAAAAAAAAGACAACATATACATATACATCCAATTATGTATAATTGAAACCGGAATGCGCGCTATCCATGATCATACTATATTATTACCATATCGTTACTATCACGTACGCAAATCTTAATTATTTATATTACTAAATAAGGTTAGATATTTGCATGTTGAGGATTCAATTCAATCTTGGAATATCACTTGTATGAATTGAAGATTCAATTCATGATAAAATATGATAAAATAGCAATAATCACAACTTTGGAGGCATCACTATTTGATTACACGACAATAAAAGTCAATCATCGAAACTCTGCGCATCTTTATTGTACAAAAAAATATTATATATTGTTATTGAGTTGGATTGTAGAATAGAATTTGAAATATCTTTCAAGGCTAATAAAAATTACTTTTTAAAGTATGGTACAAAGAGAAATTGAAAATATTTTAAGAGATCCTTATATTATTGGTTCTTTGATGTATGATATTTTGTTTTGAGATTACCTTTATATGCGCGATCTAATTCCTTTTTTGAATGAAAGCAGTAGGGCTGAACTATCGATTTCGTCATTTCAAAAAAATTTAATGCACATCTGTGATAGAAATCGTAAGCACTATTACCAAATACACTTTGAAAATATATGTAATATCTGATAATACCGGTACTTTTAATATTTTGAATCTAATCGGATGAAAAATCTGAATGAAAATTGAATGAAAATTTAAAATAATCACTATAAAGTCGGAGATGTAGCTTTATAATACCCCGGTTTTTGCATATATATTTTTTTCTTAGCAAGAAAGAATAGTTTTTATTCCTGTTAAATTAAGTTATAATGTCGTACAGCGCATATATATATATATATATATATATGTGTTTTAAATAGATATATTACTTTGTTTAAATAACTATAACTTAACTTTATGCTTTTTGTACGATGTACG